ATATCACTGCTAATAATGCTTGGAGACGGCTTGAATGGGTAATGAAATAAAACCTTGTCGAAACGTTGTACATTTTATGTTACGTTAAACTTGTATTAAAGTTTTTATTCATCACCCATTCAAAGCGTCTCCAAGCATTATTAGCAGTGATATACTAGAGGAAGGCAGGTAGCCAACAACACTCACCGACAACTCTTGAGCTACCTTTTTTGTTTACCAATGAATAATGGGATTTCCCGTAACATTATAACGCCCTCCGCAGATGAAAGGGCGAGCATGTTCGGCGTGACATGTTTTGGCGAGAAGACAAAAACTTCGCGTGTGTATTACAACACCTCGATTCTAGAACTCTGTAGCCAATGTTATGAACATCTAAATGTTTAAAAGCATGGTTCACAATAATATTTTGTTCGAATTATGATTTTCCTTTAAGTTAAAGAAGTACAATTATGAAAATATTAACACAAATTTCTACAAAAATAGTTGCCATTCTGATAATATACAAATACATATGCATTATTGCTAATATTTATACAACAATAAAAGGAAAAAGCCTTTAACAAAAATCAGGGATATAAAAAAATTTCAAATTACAGCCCTAACTCGGCTTGTACAAAATAAGAAAGTTGTAATATACAATTACGATCATAAACCAATCCGTGACGAACAAAAGTTAAACTTGTCGGGTATTAAACAGCGAAGAATTTATCTCATTCATTAAAAATAAAATTACTATCAGTAACGTCAAAGTTGCCCTCTTTCTGATAAGAATTGTTAACGGACATGACTTCATAACCTACTTACTGAATCACCAGCAGTGGCGTAGCAAGGGTTCTCAGAACCCGGGGGCGAAGACACTTTTGGCGCCCCACCTCTGAAATGTTTTGATTATTTGTTTTGTGACTCATTATGCATTTAATGCCAATAACGTAAAGAATTAATTACCGCCTTACACGGGCCTCAAATAAAGTCACAATATAACATCACAACTGTAAACCTGGAACTAACGAAGTATAGCCTACTAGGTGTACTTACATAATTTGTAAACCATTTTGATATTTATGTCATCCAGTATTGTTCAAAGTCACATAGCTTGAGTAATCTTTCAAGCATGCAGAATAAATTTCTGTTATATCCCTAGTTTTGAAACTTATGTTTTATATCAGAAGCCAGTCACTTGTGGTGTACATGGATTATAAAACAGATTGATAAAATACTACTTAAGTTTACAAATAACAAATTTTAGTAGTTACAAAACTGTACA